TGGAAGAAATTAAAAATAGAATTCCAAAAGCACAGAGCAGCAAGAACTAAAAAGGGGTCCTCTGAAATGGTTAACCTGGATAATCGAAGGGCATCGAGGAGGTAGAGTTCTTGAAGGTCCAGGTCCTACTAGGGACAACTCGATCATACCATTCTTGCCACTCCAGTCTCACCGTGGGCCAGCATTGGTGGGGGCGATTCGTTTTCCAGTTCCTCCAGTCAAGGCCACCTTCGTAAAGAAGACAATGGTCTTCCAGACGAGGGTATAGAGCTAGAAGCTCAATAGGAATCTCCTTGAATATGGGACCAAGCACATAGTCTTGTTGCACATGACGACGAGGAATGAAGATGCGTCCGTCGATGGCACTTTTCGCCCTAGCTTTGTACTTTTCACATTCTGCATCAATGAGCCTTTTCAGGGCTACAAATGGGCTCGCGCGCTCTACAACTGGCACTTTCAATGAGGAGGAAGCCATTGATAAAACACTTTTTCAAAGGATGAAGCTGGAAAAGGGAGTAGAAAGAAGTGGGAGACGAATAGAGGTGAAGGGTTTTGTATGTTGAGCGAGCAAGTGATTTCAGAATGTGGAATAAAAGGATTTCAAAAGCCTTTATATCTGAAAGGTATATCGCGTAAATTCGTTAAGTACTAAAAGTACGATTACGAAGAATTTCCTTCAATATTGATACTCTTGGAGGGAAAAAACATATCCCAGATGTTGATACCAGCTTCGAAGTAAAATGTTTGGCTTCGAAGCCAGATTTTGGCGCCAAAAGTAAAAAAACAGCTACTTCGAAACTAAGAAGCCAGCTTCGATGCACATTCCATGCTTAAGAATGTAAGAATACTCAAATATTCATTTACTTAGAAGGGGATTAAAGACCTATTTTTGGGCTTCTTAATGAAAACAATGACCTTCGAAGTGAAACTTAAGAACCCGTAAGGATGGAAATTGGTGTTCAAAACATAACACACTAGATTTTGGCGCCAAAAGTCCAATAACAACGGCTTTGAAACTAAGAGCCGGCTTCGAAGCGAATTCCGTACTCAATGGATACAAGAATGCTCAAGTATTCGCTTACTTCAAAAGGACTAAAGACCTGTTTCAGATTTCTCAATGACAGTGATGTTCTTCGAAGTAAAATTAGAAATTCCTTGGAAAGAGAAATTGGCATTCGAAACATCGAAACCCATAGTTGGTTTATATATATATTTAGAAAAGTTGACTTTTTGAACTAAAACAGTGCAGCCCTCAAAAGGAGCTCCCGTATTTTTGAAAATATGGACTGTTGTTCAAAATGAAAAGATCAATTTAGAACTGATTAATCTGCATTCCCTAAATTGGAAAAGTTCATGGTCGTGTTGTTAGTATTCATTTTAAACGATCGAATCCAGGTTCGAAGGAAAAGATTGTTCAGTTCGAAGCTCTGAAATTGCTTTTAAAGACAAATAAAGGCAAGATCAAACCATATCAAATAAAGAGAAGTCTTGTATTAAAGCAAAAGCAGTTACATCGAATGACCCTATTTGGGTACAAACTTAAGCTCATAAAAATAAGGAATGGAATAAATAACAAGATCATGAAATTTAGTCCAGCTATAATCAATGAATTTCTATTCTTTCTTTATTCTGTCCTCTATGTCTTCTAACATTGGCTGCATGAGTTGATGAGCTCTCACTTCATAAAAGAGTTCTTCAGCCTTTATTTCGAAAGCTGTTTCTCTCAATCCTTGTTCCAATTCGTCCATCTCTAAGTCATCCCAGTACGCAGAATCTTTGTTCTTAAAATCATCGAATTCTTCAATGAAGTTTTTTGCTTCGTACTGGGCGTGAATTCGAAGGGACGAAAGTTGGTCTAAAGATCGTGTAGTGGCCATAGAGGTCCGATGCCAGTGGAGAAGCAACAGAAGTTGGTCCAAAAATATGTAAAGTTCTACTTGGGCAAGAGGATTGAGAACATGACCCCGAGTCAGAATATCACAAGCCCATCGAAGGTTCTTGAGAGGAACTTCGTCCTCAAGAACATTGAAGGGCAAATGAGAGAAAGCCGTGAGCAGAAGTAGAGCTTGTTTCCGTTCAACAGGAGTGGGGCAAGGTGGAGGCTTGTAAGGTGGAAAGATTTTATCTACAGAGAGGGCAAGCCTTAATCTCTCTATCCAACAAGGATTGGGCAGGGGAGAAGGTGTGGATGCTTCTATTTCAGGAGGTGGAACAAAGGTAGAAGGAACAAGGGCATTAATATAATCAAGCCAGTCAGAAGAACAAATCTTCGCCTTCTGGGCTAAGAATGATGGATTGTACCCTTGTGCCTCTTCTAGGCGTCGGGTGGCGTGCACTATCTTTGTAGGCATGGAGGATGTATACCATGCCACAAGCATATTCTCCTCCAAATTGCGTCGATGATCAATGGGCACGTAAGGATAGACCACCGAGCTTCGTGCATAAGAAGGGAACTCTAAAGGGTCAGTAAATTCGACAAAGTGATGGTTAATTCGTTTCCTCAAATCACAACACTCAGGTTTTGACCAACTTGTCCAGTCGGAAGCACCAGAAGAGGAAGAAGTCACAACCTTGTCCTATGTAGAGGATTGTGAAGAAGATTTTCCCATGTCTATATTTGCAACTTTTTGAATTAAAGGATTGAGAGCAATTTGTTCGTAGTCCAAGGGTGAGACAGAAGAAGAACCTCCCATGTCCATATTTGTGAGTTTCTGGATCGAAGGGTTAAGGGCAATATGTTCGAAGTCCAAGGATTGAAAATTTGCAAAGGCATCCATGACTTGAATATAGAAAGGTGGGTAAAGGTGGCTAATAAATGCATGGGCGTTCTTTCGAGGAGGAACAACATCGACATATGACTCTTCGTGTGCTCGATTGTTGGAGGAAAAAATTAATTCGGCCATGAAATGTATCAGTCTGTTCGAATGCTAAGACGGTGGAAGTGTTCAAAGGATTAAACGAGAGTTTAATACAGATGGTGAGTGACAGTTGCATTTCTGGAAAGATGCAAAATCCATGCACGTTCTAAGACGTGGGAAAAAGACCCTGCTCCACTAATATCACCAAGTATTGGGTATATTAGTGCGAGGGGTAATGTTGGCTGCATATTTTATACAAGCCAGTTACAATTTGACGCGTGGCAAAGTAAGGGTAATATGGGGACACCATTCAAGTCTTTGATCTTGATCGTACACGTGACAATTGATATTGGTTGTTATGAGATCTGAGTAGCAGTGAATCAACAAAGAGATGCAAAGTGATGTGGCATCAGCGGTTATTCTTATTTAAATTCAAATTTAGGAGGGAAGCTTAATTACAAATGATGGCATAGTGGAGCTAATTTTGAGGCTACATAATCAGCGATCATGGGGGAGCAGTTTGACGGTTGGAAATACAGTTCAACTGTCATCTTTGAGCAATATAAATAGCAGAGAAGGCCCTGGAAAAAGCTCCCGGGACTCAGATCTAAAAAACCAGTCTTATTCTACTTTACTTTTACATACCCTGTTCTTTACATTACAGTACTTCAAATTCCGCACCGCATTTTCATTCATAGGAGTAGTTTCAAATAGATTGTCGCTTCGAATCATTGTAAGTTTTTCCTTGATTTTCTTTATTTGATTGGTATTCTGTTTAAATTCTCTTAAATCAAGCCACCAGTAAAAGTCCTCTTCATTGAGGCTAAGAGAACTAAAACACAGTCATCTGATAATTGGTTGGCAATTAAATTTCTGTAAGGACTAAATTAATCCTTGCTGGCACGCTCGCAATCACAATAATAACCTTCGAAAGCCAAAAAGCCAACAATATCACTCCCTGATGTTTGATAAATTACACTAACCCCCTTGTTATTGTAATTATTTAGACAAAATGAAAATATTGAACTCATATACTTTCTCTTTTCTTACTTTGCTTAGTTTTTTTTTTCTTTACCTTTTCTTTTGCTCTACTTTTTTTTTCAATGTAATTTTTTCTGTTCTTCTACTTGGAGTTGTTGCATTTTTATATAAGTTGGGGGTTTGTGAAATGAGAGTATTAACCATAGAGATGAAAATGTAATTGTTAAAACGTCAGGGAGTGAGATGTAATTGAACCGAATTTCAAAAACTGTTAGTGTTGGGAAAAAAATGACAAACCACAAGCAGCAAAGCCACACTTATATATATATAGTTATAAGAATAAATAGATAGAAGATACATATATCAGCTATTTTTACATTAGGTTATTGTATTTTGAAATTCTACTTTTGCTTTGATTTGATTTCCTCCTAACTTTTGTTAAGGCACAATGGGTTTTAATTTGGTTTTTGTGCTTTTAGGCAATGCAAGGGGTGTTTGGGAAATGATCAAAATAGTCAATAAGTTAAAAAATTATTTAAAAAATAATAATAAAAGATTCTATTTCCTATATATTTTTTGCAAGTTTTTTTTTATAAAAAATAAAAAAATATTCAAAATATATTATTTTTTTCATTTTATATATTTAGGATAAATTATAAATATACCCTTGAGATTTGATTAAAATACGAATCATCCATATAGTTTTAGAAATTACATTCTACCCCAGAGGTTTTTAATTTCATAACAAATCACCCTTTTTATTCATAAATTATCAAGTCAATTAACAATTTTTAATAATATTAGAAACATGTTTCAATTAATAATTTAAGTAATTTTATTAATGTATATGAGAGCAATTATGAATTTTATTTTTTTAAAATTAATTCTGTTAAATAAAAATTTTTGATAATGAGATATTTGTAATTTTTTTTCAAATCATTAGAGGTAATATATATTTTAAATAAATCTCAAATAATATATTTATAATTTATCTTATATTTTAATTAATTTTTTTTTAAAAAATAATCTATTTTCAAACCAAACTATGTTGGAAAAGTTGTTAAAAAATAAAAAAAAAGTTACTAAAAGGTGAAAAATTCATTTAAAAAAAAAAAATCATAAAAAAGTCGCATCCCAAGCCAGCGTAATAAACAAGCGCAGCAGTGATTTAGAACCCTCAACAAGCGTAACTGCTAATACGGAGAGGGAGAGAGAGAGAGAGAGAGATGGCAGGGTTGCTAGCATGGGCAGCGGATGTGGTAGGAGGAGGTAGCAACGACGAAGAAGACGATTCCAGCAGCATTCCAATCCCACTCTTATTCACTCCTCAACAACAACACTACTCCATTGAGTTGGGTCTCAAATCAGCTTCCCTTAGCCGTTCTATCCAAGATCTACGGCTCACACTCCCTTCCCATCACATCTCCCTACGCCTCCCCCATCTCCACGCTCACTCCCTCGCCTCCAATGCCGCTCTCGCCCTCCAATTCGACTCTCACTCCTCCACCAGACAACAGGTACTTGCTCAATTTCACACCTTTCTCATCTGGCTCCCCAATTTCTTCTTTTTCTCACTTGGGTATTTCAATTTTATTGCAATTCTTGAAATGATCATTCCGTTCTACTTCATTCCAGTCACAAGTTCCTCTAGTGTGTGTCTCAATGTCTAATGCAGTTTCTTTTCTGTACCATGTTGGGTTGCAATTCTTCAACAAATGGATTGATTTTGGCCAAGGAGAATTGAGCTAATAAAAATAATCCTGAAAGTTATGCTGAGTTTTTAATCTATCTTTGTTGGGAGGACAATTAACAAGTAGCAGAATTCAGTTCATGATTATACTTAGGCCTCGTTTGGCAAGAGGCTATTTTAGTCAATTAGTCAAAAAGCCAACAACCCATACCAAAAAGTCAAAGATTGTCTTTTCTTTCTACTTTTTGCACATCTTATCTTTTCGTAATTAGCCAAAAAGTCATCCCAAACATACAAGTTTTTTTTACCTACTTTTTTAGCCAAATAGTCAAAAAGTTACTAAATTAGCCTGTTCCCAAACGAGGCCTTACTTCGAATCAGAACGTGCTATGCTGTGGTTTCTGGGCTTGTATATGCAGTTGGCTAGTTAACAAGTTTTGGCCCCAAGTCTGACCTTTTTGGCTCTAATCTTTTTGGCTAGGCACAATTGAGAGAGACTACGTTGCAAGAAGAAAATATTGCCTTTGAAAAGGTTATATCCAATTGCGAGGATAAAATACAGGAGAGGTTGCAAGAAGCAGAATTACTTCGAGCTAAGTTAAAGGTTAGAGCTAAAGTTTCGAAACTTCATTCTAAATGTTAGTGTTCTTAGTTGCCTTCTGTTTGAGAAATACCATAGTTATGTCAACATGTTTCAAATGTTTGTAATTATGCTATGATAGAAAAATTATTTGAACATAAGTTGGCATAGTTTTAGAGAAAATCTTGTTCTGAAATATTTGATTACATTTACTAGCTAGCAGCCACTTTAGGTGGAAGTGGAAACCAATTAAATATGATCTCTCATCGTTTTGATGCAAACCATAATAGGAGTTTTCTAATGTACGTATAAAGCCATCTATCTGACCTAACTTGTCCTACACTCTCAACCCAGATTCAAACAAGCACAAAACCAAAACTAAGAGGTCTCAAATCCCTGAATAATGTTAATTTAACCATCGATTTCCACCCTAAACATGGGTTTAAGTCTCACATATACGAGTCCTCAAACTGTATACTTACAGATGCATACTCATAGTTCAATTTCAACTTAAATTTTATCATGCTCATCAAATTCATGTTTCAACCACTGGTCTTAAGTCTTGTATCATCAAACCAAAATCTTAACATGAAACTAGGTCTATTCATACATGGTTCTCAAACGTGAGTTTGAATTCGTACATGCATATAGTTTACCTCAAATTCTACCAATTCATGCAGTTTTTATGAGTTTAATAAGTTTCTGTTCTAATTTATAACAAGAATGTAAACATATAGGATTTCTTATCTTGAAACCAATTCTTCACAATTTCCCTTTTTCCTCTCTCTCTCTCTCTCTCCCCATAAAGAATGTACACCAAAATGAGAGACTTATACTCTCTTAAAACCAATTCTTGTCTTGAAACCCATTCTTCTAGTCTCGCATGCCATAAGGCACATGAGTTTGCATTGCATGTGCAAGGTGTCCTCCCCACATGCTCCCATATGTCATGCTACTTGGGCTAAATTATACCCTCATTAAGCTAGTTTATCATGTTTAATCATGCATCTAATTGACCAAATATGAAATTATGCTCATGAAATTGCTATAAATTCAAAATAAATCCAACCATCATTTTAGTTTCTTGTGGCCCTTGCCCAAAATTTCATGATTTACTTGATTAAAACTTACCAAACCCAAAAATTAAGATTCTCGAGATTCCTAAGGTCTAAATTATTTATTAGGAGTAGGAAATTCTTCCCAATTCAAGCATATGCATAAATTTCAAAGAACTTTGTGTGTTCATGGATCACTCTTGCTATGAGATAGGCCCTATGTGTGCCACCAAATCTCCCTTATCATGGCCTTCACCCTCCACGTGGCAAGCCCTTAAGGATGCAATGACATCGCCTAAGCAATTTATTCTTTCCCATAGGGCACCTAGTGTTTTAAAAGGCGCGCCCATGAAGTGCTTACGCGTGAGGCGACTTAGAGAGCTTGAGGCGAGGTGCAATAGGAAAGGCGCATTTGAGGTGCTTGAGGTGCGCGCCTTAGGCTTAGATGAGACAGATGCCTCATGCGCTTTATTTAAAATTTTGCTCCATCCTTATTCTTTGTGTGTGTAACCATATGGAATTACAATCCCTTGAATACAAATGTAAACACATGCTTTGAGTCCCAATTTTCATATGAAAAAAAGCTCTAGGCATTAACTAAAAGCTCTGAGATTGCAAGATGAATATATGGCTTTGGGATTCCTTTTAATGTAGTAAATTACAATAGTTTCGGGCCAACGATTGAAGCTATCGGGCAATTTGGTCCCGATTTAAAATTAAAACCACTAAGTTATTATGTGGTGTGAGTTTCTTATCTAAAAAAAGAAACGAATCACGTTAATAAATTGATAAAGAAAGATAAATAATATAGGACAAAATAATATTGAATGTTATTTTTGAGAAAATTTTGAAACGTTGAAGTTATTCTTCATGATTTTTGGAATATTGAATGTAGTTCTTTTTTTGTTTTTTTGAAATTCTAAGAATATTTGTTTTATGTTAAAAACTTCGGTGAGACGTGCGTTTCACCTTGCTCCTCATACTTAAGCTCCAGGAGACATTAGCACCTCAATGTGCCTAGAGCTTTTTAAAACACTGGGGCACTCGAGGAGTGGCGAGGAGTGGAAGAGAGGTTATCAGTTAGTGAGAGAGTCTTGTCATCGAAGTAGAGAAAGAAGATGATAGAAAAGATGATCTTTACATTACATGAACATCCAGGACCCTATCAATAAGGATGTCCATGTCAGTGTTTTTTAAGGCGAAAAACGAACCGAGGCGACAAGGTCTCCTAACGCCTAAGCACGAGGCGACGAGGCGAGACGAGGGCTTCATCGAATCGAGGTGACCACAAACGATATTTTTTTAAAAATAAATAGTATAGACAAAAATATAAATATTTTCAAGAACCATCATGCATTTATCATTCCAAATATTAAATATCCATAAACAATAGAAAATATCCAACAAAGACAATAAAATCCAACAATTCAAAGGTTCTAAAAATCATCTTCAACATCAAGCAAATGAACTTCTTCATTATCATTGGCTTCATCATATCCCTCCGCATCTTCTTCCTCTCCCCCATCTGAAATTGACTCTTCCTCATCAATAAGTTGTAATCTAGGCCTAGCTGCTGATTTTGAAGTTGAACGATCCCTTTCTATTGCCCTTGTTGATCTAGTTCTTTGGCTACTTTCCTCAACTCCAGCAGCTCTAGCAACATCATTCCATGTCAAAGTATCATTCTCAAAGATAAGTTCCTCCTCCATCCTCCCAATCAATCACTCGTTACTTTCATCAATATCATCAATATCTGTCAAAGCGATGGGATCAATCGTGTCATGGGAATTGTATCGACATATCAATGCTCTATTATATTTGACAAATACCAAGTCATTCAGACGTTTTTGAGCTAACCCATTTCTCTTTTTGGTGTGAATTTGTAAAAATTCAAACCAAATAAAAATATTCAAATTGTTATCTAGGTATTGATAAATTTATAGGTATTCATATTCACTATATTTTAAAATAGGTACTCACATGTTCAAACACACTCCAATTCCGCTCACACCCAGATGAACTACAAGTTAGACTAAGAATTTTGATGGCAAATGTTTGCAAATGTGGCGTTTCAAAACCATATGCACTCCACCAATCAGGTGTTGATTATAACTAATTAATTAGAAAAAATATTTAAAATATAAAAAACTAACTAAAATTACTTAAGTATAAAATATAGATCACCTGGTGCCTTTGTAGTTCTTTGTCTAATGGCCAAAGCCATCCCAAAGAGACCTTCAGCTTTCTTATAGGTAGTCAACTCTGCGCAAACTTTATCTTGTGTCTTATTGTTTGGGACCAACCTTTGTATGCATTTATATAGGCCTGACATGACTTCCTTATCTTTCTCAATATTCGGATTTGCGTAAAATACTCTGGGTTTAAATAATACCCAGCTGCATGCAAAGGCCTAAGCAATTGAACATTCCATCTATTGTCAATTATTTCAAAAAACTCCTTGTACTTCTCTTCATTTCTATTAAATGATTTTGCAATGGCTTCTTTAGCCCTATCCATTGCCTCATAAATATATCCTATGGGAGGCTTTCTCTCACCATCAACCAATCGCAGCACACGAATAAGAGGACTTGATATTTTGAGGGCATAAAGAACAGTGTTCCAAAAAGAAGGCATTATGACTTGTGCTATGTTTTTATCCCGTGGTTCCTTCGCTCATTTGCTTGTGGTCCATTCCTCTGAAGTGAACATCTTCTTCAAGTTAGTTTGTTGTTGATGAATCCTTGATAAAGTTAGAAAAGCAGTTGCAAATCAAGTTTTTGCTGACTTTATCAAATCGTTGCATTGGGTAAATTGCCTCATCATATTCAACAAACCAGAGTGGTTCACAATATAACCATGCACCGCAATTGCCTTTTCAAATGTCTTGTTAAAGTTGAGAATTTTGAAAATGACCTCCAACATTAAGTCCAAGCAATGAGCTGCATATGGTATCCAATACAAATGTGGCCGCTTTGCCTCCAAAAACTTCTCTATTACAAGTTAAAAAAAAAAAGAACGAGTTTTTAGGCTTTGTTTGTCATCTTCTAAAAAAGTAAAAAAGTCAAAAAGTCATTATCCTATTTAAGTCACATCGTCTTGTTTATGTCACATCACCACTCTACCACATCATTTCAAACCCAACCCATATTTCATAAAAAGTCAAAAAGTGCACTTATTTAGAATATCCCAAATAACCCCTTAATATGAGAATTGCATATTCATATTGTAAGTAAGTACTAAGTACATGTATACTACTAAGTTACTAATCGGCCAACACATTTGCTGAGGCACTATCTGTAACAACTTGAACCACGTTGGCTTCAACAATACGCTCCACAAAGTTGTCAAGCAATTCAAACATCTTATTTGCATCCTTGGATAAGCTAGAAGCATCAATGGATTCAATAAACATTGATCCTCTTGGGCAATTAATCAAAAAATTAATTAATGCCCTATTTCTTTTGTCCTTCCACCCATCGACCATTAAAGAGCATCCATATGTTACCCAATCTTTTTTATGATTCTCCATGGTCTTATTAGTGTGGTCTACCACTTTCTGCAAATAAGGAACTCGCACCTCATGGTAGCTTGGTGGTTTCATGCCAGGACCATATTGCCCAAAAGCTTCAACCATTGGCCCAAAACTATTGTAGTTCACAACATTGAAAGGTATACCCGTATCATACATCCACCTTGAAAACCAAACATGAGCCCGATCTCTCAACACCGTATTGCTAGGATCATTATCATCAATTCTTGTTTGCTTCCCCTTGGCTTTACAATTTTGCACCACAACTTCCGGATCAGGGGTGACGTACACATCCATAGGTCCTTTTTGCTTTGGTTGTTTGGAAGCAACAGATTTGGAGGAGCTACTTCCTTGTTGTTGATGGGTAGAACCTTGAGTTATTTGCATCCTTGGATAAGCTAGAAGCATCAACAGATTCAATAAACATTGATCTTTTTGGGCAATTAACCAAAAAATTAATTAATGCCCTGTTTCTTTTGTCCTTCCACCCATCGACCATTAAAGAGCATCCATATGTTACCCAATCTTTTTTATGATTCTCCATGGTCTTATTAGTGTGGTCTACCACTTTCTGCAAATAAGGAACTCGCACCTCATGGTAGCTTGGTGGTTTCATGCCAAGACCATATTGCCCAAAAGCTTCAACCATTGGCCCAAAACTATTGTAGTTCACAACATTGAAAAGTATACCTGTATCATACATCCACCTTGAAAACCAAACAAGAGCCCGATCTCTCAACACCATATTGCTAGGATCATTATCATCAATTCTTGTTTGCTTCCCCTTGGCTTTACAATTTTGCACCACAACTTCCGGATCAGGTACACATCCATAGGTCCCTTTTGCTTTGGTTGTTTGGAAGCAACAGATTTGGAGGAGCTACTTCCTTGTTGTCGATGGGTAGAACCTTGAGTAGGAACAGGCCTTTTACCATGTTGATTTATCTCAACAATTCATCATCATCATCATCATCATCATCATCATCATCTTCATCTTCATCATTATCCATCTCATCAAAATCAGGAACCATCCTCAATTGGACCTTTGATTGACTTTTTTGAGACATATAGTCTTTAATCTCATCTTTGACATGAGATGCACATTTTTTACAAGCAACAACATTTTTATAACCACCAGCAAGATGTTGCTTGACTCGGTAAACACCGCCATTCATTTCTTTGTCACAAAAGTTGCAAATGAACTTTGAAAGGTCTTGGGGATTTACCATCCGTGAATATTGCCGTGCCGGATCTTTTTTACTGTCACTCGACTTCGACATCTAATTCTAACCAACCAAGCAATTTAATGTTACGAAACGAAGAAACAATTAAAGTGCAAAGAAATAAACAGTTTCAGCGTAAAGAAATTAAAGAACAACATATTTTTAGCAGCAAAATAATTAAAAATTTTTCAGTAAATAATTGAAAATTTTCAGCAAAATTAGTTGAAATTTTTTTAGCAAAATAATTATATAATTAATACAGCAAAATAATTGTAAAATAACACAACAAAATAATTAAACAATTGCAAAATCAATTTAGTAAAATTAATTGAAAAAAATTTCAGCAAAATAAATAAAAAGATAAACAAAAACAAGAACTAGGAGAGAAAAAAAAAAAAAAAAGGGTCTGCTTACAGAAACAGAGTAGAGTTCTTCAAAGCAGAGTCGAAAAAAAAAAGATGAAGAAAGGAAGAAAAAAAGAAGACAAAGAAAAGAAGACGAAGACGAAGACGCAGCAGCAGGAGAAGTAAGGAAGAAGAAACAGGTACTCACCTCTGATAATCGACTGGAACAATGTTCGAAGAAGGAAGAAGAAGACGCAGGTAATCAATGAGGCCGTTTGAAGCAAATGTCGACTGGAATGAAGTCGACTTAGGGTTTCGACTTCTTATTTAGTAGAAAGCAATTATGAAGTGCAACGCATGTCCACAAATAGCACAAAAGTCATCCAAATGAAGGGCCTGGATCTTTCGAACTGAAATTAGACAAAAATTGGTGAAGCCTCGCTTCGCATCGCCTCTCGCTTCGCATCGCCTCTCGCTTCGCATCGCCTCTCGCTTCGCATCGCCTCTCGCTTCGTTGCCTAAGCCTCGCTTCATGCGCTTCGACTTCGCCTCACCATTTCACCTCGCCTCAGTGAGTATGATGCGCTACATCCTCGCCTCGCCTTGCCTCGCCTCGCCTTGCCTCGCCTCGCCTTGCCTCGCCTCGCTTAGTGCTTAGGCGAGTGCTTAGTCGCGCCTTTGATAACACTGGTCCATGTAATGTAAAGATCATCTTTTCTATCATCTTCTTTCTCTACTTCGATGACATGACTCTCTCTCACCGATAACATCTCTTCCTCTAAGGTCACCTTGGTTCTGTTTTTGTTCGGCTCCGGCTACTTCTGTTCATTGAAATGACTACCATATTCCAATAGGTCCCCAATTAACCATATTACTTGCCATTGCCCACAAATTCCAGATATAAAATCAGTACATTTGACCCAAATAGCACTTGTTAAATAGTTATAAATTTTTGGTACACAAGAAATCTTATAAATACTAACTTGTCATTGGAAAAGTAATACCTAGGGTATTACATATATGTTCTGTGAAGACAAAAATTTTCCTTCCCTTTAGAAACTCTACACTTTTTGTTCTATCCTTTCAAAACAGAGTGATTCTAACTTTCTGTAATCCCATCACAAAACCAAGTGTGGGAAACTCTATTCTCAGTTGTCCTACATCCATAACCTTTGAATTATGAGGAGTTTTATATTTTCAAACTCAAATATTTGTTGAGTTCTTTGTTTTTCTTTCGGTAGAGCTTTTGGCAGGCTTTTGTGAGTGGTGGCTCTTGTGCTATTTTAATGCAATTTGTGTTTATTTTTCCCTTCTAAGTTCCTTAGCCTTGGACACTTTTGAAGAATCTTGTATTCAAATTTGGTTAGCTTATTGTTTTCAGTTTGTTTAATCCTTGGCATCCTCGTTGAGTCCAAACTAAAGTATAGAGCCTTACAGAAAACAGACTTGGCTGAGAAAAATCTGAAGACTGAGTTGGAAAATGCGCTGGCTGCATTGGATGTCAGGAAATCTAGAAAATCTGGTGAATTGTTGATTGATTCGAAAACTGCGGTTTTAGCCCAAGAAGACACAAAAGCTTCAGAATATGCTCTACTGGACAAGTTAGAGAACAAGAAAAAAGAACTGGTCTGTTACTTAAAATTATCTTCATTGTTTTTTCATTTTTTCCCTTCTTTAAAATCATTTTTTTAGTTGTTGAAAGCTTCTTATCTTCTCAGTGTTCAACAGAAGAGATGATTCAAGAATTGGAGAAGAAATGGGCACAGGTCCAAGAGAATGCACTGAAGCAGCTTTCTTCAGGTATTTTACATCATCAAGTAATTTTAGTTTTTGTAACTGATTTGAACTTTCACTGCACAATTGATGGGCAATAATGAAATCTTTCTTAATTTGGTTTTATAAAGATTTCCTTGTAATATCTCCTTCCACAATCATTGTTTGATGAAGATGGATATGGGTTGTGGATAAGTCGCAAATAAATTGTAACTTAATTTAATAAAAAAAAAAGACTGTGAATGAACAGTTGACATAGCATGGAAAACTTTGACCTATTCCCTTCTGCTTGATTTTAGTGAAATAGAACTGTCAGTAGTTACGTGAGCTAATAACAAATATTTTACTTTGGAAGTCATATTTTTTAAGCTGTTTAACTTGTTGCAATTCCTTCAGCTCAGAGAGAGAAAATATTGGATAGACAGCTTCACAGCCTAATTGAACAACTGGCCGCAAAGCAGGTATGATTAATCTATAGTGAATTTGCTTTATATTAAATCTTTTGCTGATGTGCCTTCCTGAGAAACTTATCTTATTCTTTCCTTCCTTGTAGGCCCAAGCAGAGGGGCTAGTCAGTGAAATCCATCTCAAGGATGTGGAGCTAGAAAAGTTAAATGGGCTGTGGAGGGGGCTTGAGGTGAATACAGCCAGGAATCGGTTTGGAACAAGCAACTCTGAGAAGGGATCTCTTTCCTCTGATTACATTGTTGATCTTCATCAAAGGCCTTCTTATCACATCAGTGGCCGAACTGAGAACCAACAGAGGCTCATGCTACTCAGGTCGGCTTTCGTGCTCTACATTTTAGCCCTGCACATTTTGGTCTTCATCAAGCTTTCGTTCTAAAGTTCTTTCTGAATGTATTGTTTACATAATGTAAACGTTTCTCATGTATATTTGATGAAACACTAATTTCCTTCTGATTTACTCTTGTATATTGAAAATAATTATCTCTTAGCATTAGGAGAATAGAGTACAGTAGGGAAAATAACCACTTGAAAAAAAAAACATATTGTAAAATTCTCGATTTGCAGAAGTGTATGGAGGTCTGACAATTAAATTTCAGCGGCACATCTAGATTTTTGCTGAAACCTTCTCTTTTTGGTTGAGGTAAATCATTATACACTATCAAACTGTTAACTAAAGTCTTATGAATTTTGATTGTTGAATCATAGTTGCGACCATAAGATACAAGTTATCACCATGAGGTTATTGTAAAGTAATGCTAACCGAGGCTAAATGTTTCTAAAAAAAACACTGACCTGTCAGTTTTGTTTTGTAGCGGCTAATTCTCAATCCCATCTATGTCTTCTCTTTGGGAGAAAATCCATTAGTTTGTAAGTATATTTGTACGTGTTTTACCACCATTTTAGCCAAAGATTATTATTTTTTAAATTATTCAGCTTTTGTTTCCATTCCCAGTCTCATTTGCTGCAAGAAGATTACAAACAGATTATTGACAGATCCACCCAAGAGCTCTAACGGCACGCTTCATCCTGAAAATCAACTATAAATTATTTCTAACTATATAAAATAGGATCTCACTATCCTTTAAATTGACTGTCTTGTTTGTACTGATAGCTGCCAAGCATTTCTGGATTGCTTCATTCTTGCTCTGTCGATCCTTTCCTTGCTGTGACATATTCCTTGATCTTCAATGCTCTCCTTTGAAATATCAAATCTGTAAACATAGGTGCTGGATCATTTTTTTATAAATATTTTTAACAGCTTCACTGTGGGACGTAATTAGTGATGGTATTTAGGTTATCTTTTCCTTCTTTAATTAATATATACTTCATCAACTCAATGTCTGGACTCCCAAAATTGAACCCTAAACTTTATACTCTAAACTAAGTATCCAGTCTCCCAAAGTTGATACAGTTGTGTTGATGGTTGATCACGCATCGAGTCTTATTTGTGTAATAAGGCCCATTGGGATATGGAACCTATTCATATTATAATTTCTGTTGCTGTTGAGAGCTGTTATCTTCCCAATTAGGGTTTAGAAGCACAATATCTTCATCTGAATAATCTTATTCTAAAATAGTATATTTAACCCCTTCGAACAATCTTATTCGAAGTATTCTTATGGCATGCTTTTCGTTTAAAGTTTTTCTTCGATAATTTTATGCTAATGTTCACTCAATTTGATTCCAAAATTAGCCATAAAATTATGTATAGGACTAATTATGTAAGGGCAATCTTAAATCTAATATTAGAAAATCCTATAAAGAATTGTCATCTCAAGGGGGTTATGCTGATAAAAAAAATATCATTAATTTTTTAGATAAGAAATTTAATTAGATATTTTTAGATTGATTAATATGGGTTATATTAGTGACAGATAGATGTCATTTCAAAGATGCTAATCTAAAGAAAAACTGGTACAGCTTGCCTGTCACCACAGATCATAATCATATTAAATTATTTGTATAATGAAAATGAAAATTTCAATTTATATTTAGAATTTTTGTTTCAGATATAATTTCTAATTATTAATTAAAGTAAATATGATCCAGACCTGCAACTGCCTTGGTTAATATGATCCGGACCTGCCAACTGCCTTGGTTAATATGATTGCTATAACATGGTATTAGAGCTAGATCTTGAGTGGTTTTTTGGTACAAGTCTCCGTTTGGAGTCTCTATTTTCTCATCTTGATCATCTCTCTACACCTTTCTTCACATGCAACCAGGCAGCATAAAGACTTGTCCCATATGGCCTCTCCACATCACCCAAATTCGGTTCATATAATCTAAAGCCCCTCCATCTATTCTCAATTGATATTTTTGGGTTAAACGCCTAAAAAATTCTAACAAGAATAATTTAAGATTATATATCGTGTAATTGTTCTATGCTTCCTGTTGAAATACTAATGCTATTTTGAATATTTGAAATGCATATTACTGTATTAGGTTCAACAATGTTACATATACTGTTTTTGTGCACAACTTTAATGAATGTGTGAGTAGTTTTATTGGATCCTTTTCAATGCTTTAGAGTTAAACTAGAATGATCAATTGTGGAATAATATAGTAGTGGCAAAACAAGTACATCCATAACAGACTTTCTTTTCCTTTTGTTAGGTAGCTTTGTTTTTTTAAGCTCAGAGTATATACCTTATTAGATTATTATTCATGCAAATGATTAACAAATAATGCATGGCTTTAAACTAAACACATTTTGTTTTGTCGTTTGAACATTATTTTCATCTGTCGGTACAAATAATGCCCTTTTAATTAAACATATTGAGGACAGAACTAAAAACAAGTGTCATTCTCATTACAATTTAAAATGAGAGTTTGTTTATCAATATGCAATTATTGTGCTCTTCATTGTCTTTACTCTTTTATTTCATGATTAAAAGTAAAAAAAATAATTAAATGTGTTGGCTAGCCGAACTATTATAGTGTACTCGTGATGTATCTATGTCTTAAAACAATTTATGGTTTTCGAGGCTATTTTGTTATTTTTGATAACTTATTTTGTTGTTTTATTTAAAGCTATTGTCAAGCCAAATACTAGTCAATGTAAGGATTATTTTTATTTACTATTACTTAACTCTTTAATTAGAAACATGCCAATGGCCAAAACTCACATTGAAATGTTTAACAGTTTATAGTTTCTGAATTTGAGCCCAACTAAAATTTGTCATTTTTGATAATTTTATATTTTTGATAATTTAATTCGTGTTTAGCAAGAAAACTGCTTAGTTTGCTGTTTCTTAATCTTGTTAAGAGTCTTTTATTATTATGAATAATAATGTAAGCCTGAAGGTATTTAGAGAGTGTTAGGATTATTATTAAAATTTGAAAGAGTTCATTTTCCTTGCGTGTTTTATATTTAGGATATTCTTAGAATCAAAATGCAAATGAATTAGTGACAGCCCATATCCACATGTAGAATTATTCTTTTGGACACGACAACATCTACAAATTGTTGCTAGACATTCAAATAGAAACTATGTAATTGCAACTGTATGAAAAACATAGGATGAATTAAAATTCTTATGAAATTTTTTTCTAGTATGAATCAAACAAATTTCTATCAATTGATCAACAAGTTGAAATATCATCGACATTTACATGGTATATTGATTGTATCACGGATATGGATACATATCACAATATTGTTATTTGAAGCGAAGCGTTTATTTTTCCATCTTCAACATCTGAATCAAAAATTCATTCCACGTGTCGATAGGACCCGGCATGCACCAGTGGACACAGTCAGCAATAGTCTTGTTCTCCTCTGGCCAGTGCCCATAATGGTTAGGGTGACCATCTGGTCTCATCATCATTGCCTTTGTAGTATCTAACAACCTAAATCTCAACCCTTTCTTCCTCCCTCTCCTCTCCGCCGCTTTTAGCTCCTTTACTTGAGTATTGTACATCTCCAAATTATACCAATCCGACCTTACTTGTTGCTTTGTAAACGGCCTTGTTCTCTCACACCGCCCTCCGTTGTTCCACTCTCCTTGCTCATAGTGTGATGGCGAAAACGCCCTTAGAAAAACTATCCCTTTAAAGTTATGAAGGCCCAAAAGGGTCCTAAAGGCTGTTCTGAACGCCCTCTTGTACCCATAGAATATGATGAGATCGGTGACGTTTTTTTTATTGCATGCATAGCATCCGATGATTTTGCCCTTTTCATAGTACATGAATGGCCGGAAGAACCATTGGCCGCCGGAGAGGATGACAATGTCGACATTTTTGATCTGAGAGGTCCAAGCCGAGTCAGGTTCATCTAGGTACAGGTTCATGAGAATGCCTTGAGGGTTGGTTTCCTCAGACTTGACAAGGAGGGGGGACCACAGGGCTATTATGGTAAAATTGTAATCGATGTAGAGCCACCGTCTGAATCTTGTGTCTGGTGTATAGGAAACGTCTACAGGATTGGTTGCCTGAGAAATACAGAGATGAGTTTAATTGGGTGCATGGGATGAATGCATACGATTTATCAAATAAGAAAAGTAACCAATATGTACCTTCTTTGATATGCAATTAACCAATTAATATGTACCTTCTTTGTTATACAATGATGTATACAACAATACTATGAAAAGTTATGTGTTCAAATTTCGAGAGATTAAACATCAAAATTTTTGTACTTTTTTTTTGGTTTATGTATTTATTTATTTTTTTGGTTTTTTTTTTTTTTTTTTTTTTTTTTGTATTTGTTTCTTGCCGCCCATGTAAGTGATAGTGTAACAAGGCACCGCACAGAAAAGTGTTTAGAGTCCACACCTTCTTAACTACTTCATTCCCTCAATGTTAAATGCATCATATAAGAAATGAGGAGACTTAAAAATTTTAAAATCTTCAAGGAAACTTTAATTTTAAATATTTTATCACATGATGACGCCTTACTACGATGCCACTCACACAAGGCAATAGCAATTCCAGCAACATGAGTTTCAGAAAATCTAATTATTATTTGGGTGACGTTTCTGTTAACCATATTCATTTAATTACCACCTGGATTATGTCTTTAAATTCCTTTTGCAAGTGTCCAAGATGTAGTTCTGACTGTTTGCTTTGTGCCAAACATACATGTCCTACTAAGCTCTGCACTCAAGTTCTTGTCACTCTCTTGTATGTTTTTCGAATAATTATTCAATAATCTCTGACCATCATGTAATATTGTTTGTGGTGTTTCAATTTAGTCACGTAGCAAAAATTTTTACAAGTCAGTCATGTTGATTCACCTAGGTAGTGAAGAATCAAAAGAAGACATAGTATATGTTGTATTTTTTATTAACCAAAAGTACTATGTAGCTAATGCCACTTAATACACTCAGAGTATTTAATAATTTGTCATATTCCTCGCTCTTGTATGAGTTCTTCCATGTTGTCAATTGCAAGTAGTATTCTATCCAAAAAACCCACCCCACCCTACCTACTTTGCCCGAGAAGAGAACACAAAAAAGGAAAATTTGTTGATACATGCACATCAAGGTTGATTAACACTTTAGATAATTTGTATATAATGAATGTGAATTATTAAGAAAGAGTCTATATACAAATAATTAAATTATGAAAAGTATTAAGAATGTATATGTGATACTGTGCTGATATATATATATATATATTCTTGATACTTCATTGTAATTTAATTTTGTATATCTAGACTTTCTCAAATTGTAATGTACATTTGACAAAGGGTAATGCCAAATATAAACGGATTATTTATTTATTTATTTATTTATTACTAGACATGAAGTTAATAGGATCCATACTAAAAAACACACGTGAGACTCCGTACCTTTTTTGCCTTCGATTTTTCTTCTTCTCATTATTATTTATTTTTAGAAAGACATAATTGCTAGCATTTTATGCTGAGAAATGATCTACCAACATAATTTTTAAACAAAAAATCTATTTAGAATGGTGTGACAACAATATTTTTGAATTTATGAACCACAATGACCAGTGTTATAACTTCAAATCAGAAAGACACATCATTATGTACAAAAATTTTTGTTTGAACTACTTCAAAATTAGACTAGAAAGGCTTTGTTTTGTGCAGCTTATTAAGTTGCTTATAGCTTTTCATATCTTGGGAATATCTGTAAGAATATTTAGGACAATTTTTGTTTATAGCCTACGATAAAGAAGTTGAAAAGTTCTGAGGGAAGATGGTTTTTAACTTCTGTTTTCCAATTATTAACTTTTAGCTTGAACAAGCCTCCCTGGGATGCTTGAATGGCAACGTACCATTTCATGCAAACTATCACACACACTACACAAACAGAGTGAAATAGGGCAACTTACACTAGCTAAGAGGCACACCAGCGACTGCATTTGGTTCCTACCCACCGAGTCCCCAACGAAGGCCAAACTCTTCCCTCTAACTATCTCCAAAAACTTCACAGCATCAAAAGGAGGCAGCTCACACTCATCTGGTTTCCACCTCCATTTCAAGAAATCGTTGTCTGGTCTCCCATACTTCATACAGTTTTGCCTGTCGTCAATTACACACTTTGTTTCATTTGTGTAATAAGGCCCCTTCGGATATGGAACCCAGTTCCCCTTAAAAATATCACAACCTTGTTCGAAGCCAACACTTGTTGAAGCATTAGTAACAATCTGACTACTAGTCTGCAATGACGATGACAATGGATTGTCTGAACCATTGTTAACCTTTAGAGGCCACAATGGGTTTTTTGAATCATTGGTAGGGATCGTAACACTGGTATCAATATGAAGAGACTGCAATGGTGAGGGAGAGTTGTTTTCTGATTGGATAGGGATTGACCCATTATTGTCGATGATCTCAAGAGACTGCAATGGTGAGGAGGGGTTGTTTTTCGGGTGGATAGGGGTTGAACCATTGTTGTTGATGATCTCAAGAGACTGCAATGGTGAAGAAGGGTTGTTTGTCTGGTGGGTAGGGATTGAACCATTGTTGTTGATGATCTCAAGAGGCTGCAATGGTGAGGAGGGGTTGTTTTTCTGGTGGATAGGGATTGAATTTGAGCCATTGTTATTGATGATCTCTAGAGACTGCAATGGTGAAGACGTGTTGTTTTTCTGGTGGATAGGGGTTGAACCATCGTTGTTGATGATTTCAAGAGACGTCAATGGTGAATAGGGGTTGTTTGTCAGTTGGATAGGGATTGAACCATTATTGTCGATGATCTCAAGCGACGGCAATGATGAAGAGGGGTTGTTTTTTGAGTGGATAGGGATTGAATTTGAGCCGTTGTTGTTGATGATCTCTAGAGAGGGCAAGAGGGAAGGTGAAGTGTCATATATGTAGCAGAGAGGGATTGTGGTGAGGAGAAGTAAGGTTAGGATTGGCAGGACAATGTTTTTGGAGATACTGGGAAACTCAATTGCTTTGAACTTCATTTTTAGAGGAACTGTGAAGGAAGAAGAGAAACTATGATTCTTCTGGTTTATACCAAGGCTAGCAGGATGGACCAGTACTACTATGTAAATTAGTAGGTATCTGTCTAAGCTAGGTGGTTTTTTTAATAGTTGCAAGAGTACTGCCAACCAATGATGTAGAAAAAAAAAAAAAACTTTACGAATAAGACAATAGTAATCCATTTTTGTTCAAAGATAAAAGAATAACTCACCCAAGTATGTATGTTTCGTGGATACTCAGTTGTTTAGAAAACCATGTAAGTACTTTCTTTTGATTTTTCTTCAAAGCTAGTTGTGTGATCCTCTTGGTATGGAAACAAATTAATCATAAAGAAGAAAACTAATCATAATTTTTTTTTTAATTATTTTAATCTTTTGTATAAGGTAGGATGTTAGCGAGTTATTAGTTAAATTATAATGCAAGTCGATATTTCTCTGTATAGACTCGAACTTAGAACTTCACACTCGCACCTAAATGCTTTCTCAAAATCACTTGGGTTCTACTCTGTGTCACATATGAAAAGTTTAATTAAATCACAAAAAATATTTAAAATATATATATCGCCTTGATGTGACCTATTTCTGGTGAAAATAATGAGAATGCATTTTTTTTTTTTTTTGGGTATATAGATATAGTTTTAATCATTAGGAATTGGAATTGGACAAGGTGGAGATTAATGCAAATATAAAATAAATAATAGCATTAGTGTCGGTACAAAAGCATCTTGTAATGTAACATCATAATAATATTATGTGAAGAAGAATAAAATCCGAATTGTAAGCCCACATCCCACCAGCCTGGATGTTTGGACCACCCTTGTAAATATTATATTAGTATAATGTTATGTTAATACAGTTTATTGTGAATTAAAATTTGGGATTGCATTATTAATGCAACTTGCAGGATATGAATTTTGGTGGGACTGGGAGTTATGCTATACGTAAACTTATTTTTTTATTAATTTTTGTTATTATTTGACACAAAATTATTGAGTGTTAAAATAACTTAAATATATGTGGGACCATTGATTTTGTGTCTAAAAGAATTTTCAAAAATAAAAATAGGTGGATTAGATTCATTTTGCGTTTACTTAATCTATATATATTTCAGACTGAGCACTTTTTGATTATGTATTGACATTGTTTGATGCAATTTATAGTGGTTCTTTATGTGGTGTTTGGGAAGTTTGTGTTTGGTTTTTTTTTTTTTTTGATTTTTTTCACTAAAAGACAAATTTTTTGTAAAATCAAAAAAAAAAACAAATGCAAACAAAGCATCACATGCAACCCCATAATCATTTTACTTTTTCTCTCACAAACATTACATTCAATCACAAAAAAAACTCAACTATCTTCTCAAACACCAAAATTTTTTTCTCCAATAATAATCTACAACTAAAAAAAATCTACATAAAAATCCACTTCTCAAACACCCACACATATATAGCAGGCTTTTTCCCCCCCTTTTTGGGGGTGAATTTTGTATTGAAGTGCTTGGTACAATTTTTGTTTAGAACTTGTGAGTCCAAATAACTTAAATATAAAGAGATTAATAATTGTGAAATATATATCACAAATGAATCTTCTAATATTGCTTAGAAGAAACTTGAAAAATTAATTAAATCACAAAAAATATTTAAAATATATATATCGCCTTGATGTGACCTATTTCTGGTGAAAATAATGAGAATGCATTTTTTTTTTTTTTTGGGTATATAGATATAGTTTTAATCATTAGGAATTGGAATTGGACAAGGTGGAGATTAATGCAAATATAAAATAAATAATAGCATTAGTGTCGGTACAAAAGCATCTTGTAATGTAACATCATAATAATATTATGTGAAGAAGAATAAAATCCGAATTGTAAGCCCACATCCCACCAGCCTGGATGTTTGGACCACCCTTGTAAATATTATATTAGTATAATGTTATGTTAATACAGTTTATTGTGAATTAAAATTTGGGATTGCATTATTAATGCAACTTGCAGGATATGAATTTTGGTGGGACTGGGAGTTATGCTATACGTAAACTTATTTTTTTATTAATTTTTGTTATTATTTGACACAAAATTATTGAGTGTTAAAATAACTTAAATATATGTGGGACCATTGATTTTGTGTCTAAAAGAATTTTCAAAAATAAAAATAGGTGGATTAGATTCATTTTGCGTTTACTTAATATATATATATTTCAGACTGAGCACTTTTTGATTATGTATTGACATTGTTTGATGCAATTTATAGTGGTTCTTTATGTGGTGTTTGGAAAGTTTGTGTGTTGGTTTTTTTTTTGATTTTTTTCACTAAAAGGCAAACTTTTTGTAAAATAAAAAAAAAATAAATGCAAACAAAACATCACATTCAATCCCATAATCATTTTACTTTTTCTCTCACAAACATTATATTCAATCACAAAAAAAACTCAACTATCTTTCTAAATACCAAAATTTTTTTCTCCAATAATAGCCTACAACTAAAAAAATCTACATAAAAACTCACTTCTCAAACACCCATACATATATAGCAGGTTTTTCCCCCCCTTTTTTGGGGTGAATTTTGTATTGAAGTGTTTGGTACAATTTTTATTTAGAACTTATGAGTATAAAGAGACTAACAATTGTGAAATATATATCACAAATGAATCTTCTAATATTGCTTAGAAGAAACTTGAAAAATTTATCAATAAATTTTATTTTGAGAAATAGTGATCCATTTAGTAGGTGTTTGGCATGTATTAAAAAATTATACATTTTTTAATTTTATATACATATACTTATTTGGGTCATATCAGCCAACATCTTCTCTCTACTTTTTTATCAACTTTTTCTACTTTTTACACTTTTTTTTATATAAAGAGTCAAAAAGTGTACTTATTTAGAACATCTTAAACCACCCCATAGGATTTTTTTTTATAGACTAATTGGTCCCATTGATTTTGAAAAGATAGATTTAATATATTATTTGAAAATTGGATTTACGGTTATACCCTTCTTTATATTATGTTTTCTTTTCTTTTTTTGTAGGGTAAATTATAAATACGCCATTGAGGTTTGCTTAAAATACGAATTATCTCATGTGGTTTGAAAAATTACAAATACTTCTCTGTTAGAATTTTTTATTTAACAAAATTAATTGAAAAAGTAAAATTTCTAACTGTTTACCTATACAATAATAAAATTATCTGAATTATTAATTGAAATAAAATTTTAACATTATTAAAAACTATTAATTAACTTGATGATTTATTAATAAAAAGACCTATTTGTTATGAAATTAAAAACACTAGGAGGCATTATGTAATTTCTAGAATCACATGGGGTGATTTGTAATTTAATTAAACCTCAGGGGGTGTGTTTGTAATTTACCCATTTTTCTATTTTGCTAGAACGGTTAGGTATACAATCTATGAGAATCAAATTTGAGATGAATTTTTATATGAGAATCTTTTTTATTTAAAAAATATTTCAAAAAAATAAAAAATAAAAAATAACTTGAAATATGAGATTCTTTAAATATTTCAAGAGAATGTGAGATTCTTCAAACATTTCAAAAGGAGTACAAAAACTCCTTAGTAAGTTTTGGACAAATGTATAATTTCAGTGTTATATTGTTACGTTTAAGAAAAGTATATAAAAGAGTTTTTTAATGTGTTATATTAGTGTTACATTATTAGAGTGATACATTAGAATGTTACGCTTTTGTTCGTAATGTGAGATTTGTTACAGAATGAGAGAAAATTCAAAACTTTTTTAGTGTGGATTGCCTAAATGTGTAATTTCACATTTGAAGAAACCTACTTTTATCTCTAAAAAATTGAACCCAAACATGTAAGTGACTATCATTTTGTGTAATTTTACTTTAATAAAATTTTTAAGTTCATGAGAAAAAAAAAAAAAGAGACTAAATAATTTATAAAATTACATTTTAAAATTTATTGATACTTCACTCACGAAACTTTCCTATTACTTTCTATACCTCATGATTTGAGGAGGTTGATTTTTATTTTGTATCCTCTCACAGGTACGATGGTTCCATGAAGGAAGAGAATCATGTGTCAATTGGGCAAGTATTTTATTTTTATTAATTAATAGGATATTAAATATAACCATGAAAAAAATAATTATATTAAGTTAGACAGTTATAAGGAAAAATTATAAATAAATGGGATAATCTTAAATAATTGCACTACAAGTGATTTGTTTTTAGTGCAAGTCTGATATATCGAAAAGATTTGAACCATCATACAAATAAAATTATTTTACTATTCTCTCACTCAAATGCAATTTTCCCTAGTTATAATCTAAAAACATATAATTAGAAGCTAAACAATGCTTACAAGAAAAATATTTTATGATAAAAAAAAAATAGAAAGAACAATTCAATACAATGAGGTGTTTGGTGTGGATTGTAAGAGGTGATTATAACTTATTTTAATTTAACAATCTGTGTTAGACTGTTTGATGCAGCTTCTGCTTATAGTTTTTTAAGTAGAAATAATTTAAATAAGTTGAGAAAAGTTAATTATATAGAAAGTGGGGAATGAATGCTTTTAGTTTTTACTTTCTGATTATCAACTTTTAACTTGTAACAAAATTGCACCAAACAGCACCAATAAAGAACTCTGAAAATGAGAGAAAAATAATTAGTCTTTACTTCGGATTTGTTCCCATATAGAAGTGTACATAAATAATTAATTGAATTAACTCAATTGATTGTTAATTGGGTAAATATACTTACATTATAATAATGACAAGAAGGTATACATTTATAATGAATTTTGTCAATATATTTCGTTTTTGAATAAAATTCTGAATCCTTTTTCTAATATGTTTGTGGATTTCTTTATAATGTAAATGTCAAGGGCAAGAACGTAGCTGTCACTATGCATGGACCACGGTGGTATTGGGTTTTCTTTAATAGTGTGGTATAACAAGTACTAGCTTCCAAAAAAACCAGAACCAAACAGCCGTAAGGCAAAAAGACAAAGAAAACAATACAAACACAATATCATGAGAACCTCAAACAACAGAGCAATATTCCTATCCATAATGTACAACCAGTCATAATGTACTTATATCCTATAATTTATACTTATTTAAAATTTTTAATTATCTTAATTAGTCTTTAAATTTCAAGTC